AGGGGGGAGAGGGACGGCAGGGAGCCGGCGCTGCGGCACTTGTGTCAGGCTGCGGCATGTGGTACGCAGAAGTGCGTGTCCCCTCAACTCCTGGTGGCGGCGCACCTCGAATCTGGAAATGGTGTAGGCTGTAGGCAGGAATCATGGTAAGTTGCGGGCGGGGGCGGGCAGGGGGCAGCGACGAAGTCAGATCGGTCGAAACGGCGGAGGTTTCAGGTGCCATTTGGGGCAGGTGCGTTCGGCCCGAGGTTGGGGCCTGCAGAGCACAGGATTGCTGGGCAGGGCAGCAGCAGCAGCAGCAGCAGAAGCAGCAGCAGCAGCAGCAGCAGCAGCAGCAGCGCAGGCAGCGTCCCACTGACCCTCAAAAAGGTCGACTGCCTTGTACAGGCCTGCGGGTTTTGGGGGCGGGGGAGGGCAGTGGCGTGGGTCGCGGGGTGGTTGTTGAGTAAGGGATCCTTGGTTGTGCAAATAGCACCGCGAGCGCCGCCGCCGCCGCACCCAGTCCCTCACGGCAAGCAGGGTGCACCTCCATTCTCGCAATGAAGGCTGTGGTGTTGAATAGCAAAAAGGCGGCGGCCGTCGCAAGGCAAGTCAACGACTTGTTGCCCCCTTCTGGCGGCGGCCACCAGCTGACTCAATCCGAGCCCCTTTGCCAAGCACCGCAATGGCCCCAGGAGACCCCATATCCCCCCAAACCCCCAGGTCGTCACCCCCAAAACTATGGACGACCGTCGAATCCCGACACCACTCACGCCCCGGCGTTGGCCCCCACCTTCCACCATGTCTCCGCCCCCGACACTGTTGATGAACTTGTACAGGGTGTGGTTGGCAAACGCCAGCTCATCAGGCAGGTGGGCAAACGCGGTGTAGTCATCCATCCAGCGCATAATCATGGCGTCGAGGCCGTTGTGGGTTATGTCGTAAAACTCGTGACCCGGCGGGAAGCAGTTGGATGCTACCTCGCGCAGGCAGCTGCGCGGGTGGAGAGTGGGGCGATGGTGAGCGGAGACGCCAGTCCAGGCGAGGCCGGGCGAGCTGGCCGATGGCGCCGGCTGCCAGGCAGCAAGGGGCGGCAGCAGGCTGCGTGTAAGGGCTGGGTGCCTGCAGATGGCACCTGGAAACACAAGCCTGCAGACGCACAGCCACAGCCACAGCCACCGCCGCAAAGCCGAGCCGCGGGCTGCACCCTGAGAGTCCCACACCCCCAGCGTACGTGCGTGCACACACACACACACACACACACACACACACACACACACACACACACACAAGCACACACCTGCGCGTCTTGAAGAAGAGGTTGGCGAACTCCTCGTTGGCGAAGGTGCTGGCCGGGGCCACGGCCTCAAAGGTCACGTTGGGATTGACAGGCGGAATGCGGCCCCCGTACAGCAGGGCGGTGTACTGCCGGGGAGAGTTGTTTTTTTTGGGGGGGGGGAGGGGGATTGTGAATGTCTTTAAGAGGGAAGGGGTGGGATTGCTGAGTGGGGCAGGAGTGGGGAAGATGCTTTGGGGGAGGGGTGGAGGACGGGAGCCTAGAAGGAGCGCCGTGTGCGGACAGACGGATGCCAGCAGGGCGGCCAGCCCTGCCGAGCCACCGGTGGGCTGCCGACCCAGCAGGCCACCCACAACCCCCTTGGCGCGCGCAAACCCACTGTCGCTTGAAAGAGAAAGGGCGCGCACGGTACCCTCTAGCATCAACAACGGCTGCCAGGCTGCGCCTCCCTGCCCTGAAATACACTCGACTTTGGGGGAGAACGTACACGTCCATGCCCCTGCAACCCCTCCCCAAAAAACACAGACCACGTCCCCTTCCCCCACCCAGCAGCGCACAAGGGGGGAAAGGCAGGCGCCCATGACGACTGCCTTCCCGCCAGCCCCCGCACCTCCTGCCGCAGTGTTGCCAGGTTGTCCAGCAGCTGGGTGCGGTAATCCGCGTTGTCCGCTACCGACTCAGACAGCGCCAGCTTGTTGCCTGCGTGGTGGGGGTCCGGGGTTCAGGGTGTGGCGCGTCATTGCTAAACCCTGGCATTTCAATTAAATTTGGGTGTGGACATGTCCTGCTGTGGAGCTGGGGGGATTACAGGCGCGAGTGCCACTGGGTCAGCTGAGCCATCGCCCTCCTCGACTACACACACACACACACGTGGCACCCCCCGCACTCTTGACCAACCCGTGCCCCGCGACGCCCACAAGCACGGCCCCCTCCCCGTCCTCGTCCCCGCCCTCGCCCGCAGTGCCGCCAGCCACCCCCCCACCCACCACCACCGTGCGTAAGCGCACCCGCGAGGCGAACGCGCGAGACGCGGTAGGTGACGTGGGCCGCCGCGTTGAGGGAGCTCAGGGGGCCCTGCAGGTTGGCCAGCTCGACAAAGGATACGCCGAAGACGACCACGACGGCGGCCGCCCAGAGCACCAGGGGGGCCATGAAGCGCAGCACGGCGGTGCTGTTGGGCAGAAGCTTCTTGCCGTTGACCTTGGGGTGGGGGTGAGAGGGGGTTTGTTGTGGGTTGGCAGCAAAAGAGCAGGCAGAGCGTACTGTGCTGCGCTGTGCTGTGGTGCGCTACAGAAAATAGAAAGGCGAGGCTCGGGCGGCGGCTCCTGAGGCTTCAGGACGCCTCAAAATGCGCGGAGTTTGCTGCGCCCCCTGTCCCATCCATGGGGCCTGCCGTCCCACCTGGCGCCCACCCGCCCGCGCGGCGGGCGTCGGGCCCCCCGGCCCGTCCCATAACCCCTTCCCGAAGCCTCTTGGCCAAACCCACCTTGACCTTGGTCTCCAGCCAGCCAAACAGCGCGCGGTACACCCTGCCGCCAAAGGTGGTGGGCTTGTTCTTCTTGGCGGCCGCCGCGGCCGCAGCCGACCGCGCGTTGAGGCTGCCCTTCTTGCCGCTCTTGGTGGTGCGCACGGCACCCTCCTCTTCTGAGAAAAGAAAGAGGAAACAGCCGCAAAGTGGGCCGCAAAAGGGCCGCGCATGTGTCGACGTTGACGCTACCACCCTTGGCAGGCGTGAGACATCGCGGCTTGACTCGGCGCCGCCAGCCTGAAGCCGGACAGGCATGATCAAAACGCGCACAAACCATGCACATGCGCGCGTCCGCACCCTCGCGTACACCCACGCTCATGCAACCAACTGCCGCGCGCACCCACCGTCGTCCCCCGCGTCGACGTCGGCGGCCATGCGCACGTTCTTCTTCTCAGCGTCCGTCTTCTCGCCGACGCCGCCGTTGGTGGTGGTGGCGCCGCCCGCGTCGCCGCCGGCCCCCAGGTCAAGGCCCTCCAGCTCTTCGTCATCTTCTGCAGCCCCACAGTCGTCGTCAACCTGGTTGAAATCGAAATTGTTCATGCTTTGTCATATTATTGGCTCAGAAATCCCATCGGCTCAGACAAAGGGAGTCGAGCGGTCATCGGCAAGCCGACGAGACATCCGTTGCAGCACCAGCATCGCGACGCTGCCGCGACAAGCTGACACGGCCATGGCTGGGGTGTGGGGAAGAGGAGTGCAGCGCTAGCCAAAGGCCTGACTAACTGGGCTCTGCGTGTTCCGGTGGGCTGGCGGGCGAGCATGCGTGGCCCCCAAAAGCCCTGCGCCGCGGGCGGCCGCGTGCTGACGTCATCGCACCATAAGCTGGCGGCTGGCCATGATGCGCAGGGTGGCCGAGGGCAGCGCCAGGAACACGCTGAAGCGGTGCATGTGCTGCGCATTTGCGGCCTGCAGAAAGAAACGAGTGGGTGCAGATGGTTATGTGTGGGTGCAGATGCAGACAAGTCAGCAGGCTGCCGTGCATATGAGCAGAGGGGTCAAAATTTGAACCAACTGATGTCAGGCGGGCTTGCAGCAGCTGCGGCAACCCAGTGCACTCCGCCGCCTCACCCTTATGAGAAGAGTCAGCAGACCCATGCAGGTCATCTGCGGTGGAGGACGGGCAGTACAAGCAGGTGCTTGGTCAAATCATCGGCGCGGCATGTTTGAGCGCATAAAGATCCCGCAGCGCTGCGCAGCAACCAGCCCGCCGAGCCGTAGCTGAGGCAGAGTGCCTTCCGCCCCTCGCCGACGAGACGCAAACGCGCTGGAAGTGTGGTATGCATGCGTCAACCCCACAAGGGCGCGTGCACCAGCCGCACCTGCACGCAGAGCGTCTCCACGACCAGCAGGACCACCAGCACCACCTTAAGCTTCCCCAGGCTGTCCCAGGCTGCAGGCAAACCACAGGGCAGGGCGTTTGTGGAGGAGGGGCCGGGTGAGCAGGTCCTCTGGCACCTCAGGATCCGCTCACCGCGCCGTTCGCTTGAGCCCGCCGTAGCGCCGTTCGCTGCTTTGCGAGGGGGTCCCTGGCTGCGCGCCCGCACGCTTTGCCTGTGGCATTGCTACATGCCCGCGCGCACAACACCATGTTTGACTTCATGCCAGGACAAGTTATCAAGCCACAACCCAGGCACCATAGTCGACGAATGTGTCCAGTGACCAGGTGTAGCCCTGGAAGATGCTGGCAGGGCCCTGAGGCATTTGTGTGTGTGTGAGTGTGTGTGTGTGTGTGTGTGTGCGTGTGTGTGTGTGTGTGCGCGCGCGCGTGCGTGCGTGTGTGCGTGCGCGCGCGTGCGTGTGTGCGTGCGCGTAAGTCGTGTGTCATGTCTCTCGGTTATGCCGGGCCCAGCACGCATGTGTGCGCCCTGCCATGCACCCCCCCTCCCCTGCCCCCTGCCCCCCTCACATTGTCCTCAACGTAGTTCCACAGGGTCGTGAGGTTGAGGGCGGACTTCAGGGTCGGCGCCAAGTAGTAGATGTCCCACGAAGCTGAGATGTACCTGGGAAGGCCGAAAAGAGGGTTCAGCATGTAGGATCCTGAAATCTGGCAGCCCAAGGCTTCAACTCAGCGGCGCGCTTGGCACGCTCATGCGCGGGGGACCGATGGAATCGGCGGCCCCGCCGTGGAAGCCTGCTGCCGCGCACAAACAAAGGGCCACAGCGGGGGGCTGGGGGGGGGGGGGGCGCAGCCGCGCCTCACTTGTTGCCCATCGTCCAGAGCGTCTCGTTGCGGGGCTGCCGCACGTAGGTGCCGCTCCCCAGGTCCACAAAGGCGATCTCTGGCAGCGGCTTCTTCGTCCAGTACTCTGTTGATTGGGGTGTATGTTGAGATGAGAAGAGAGCACAGGTTTTTGTGCTGTGCAAGGCTTGCTTGCATCGAGGGCGACTGCAATAACCCATTGGCTGGACTGTGCCAGCTGCAAAGAAAGGACCTGCATTGCGGAATCCACCATGAATGCACCGCGGCAGATAATCCGGCGCATGAGCAGTCACGGGCCCACTGACACGCCTCCGGACCGGTGGATAACCGTTGGCATCGTGCCCCCCAAGGCTCACCGTAGAGGCGCGGGTCCCTGAAGTGCGCCAGGGTGCCTGTGGCTCCGAGGTACAGCTCCTGAGAGGATTAGGATTAGGGATTAGGATTGTTACAAGATGGAAGATGAGAGGGCCGGGCGCGCGGCGGGGGGCACTGCCGGATGATTGACTGCCCCACCTCTCAACGCAGAGAGCGCGGCGTCACCATGGCGCCAGCCACGCGATCCGAGAAGCCGCCCCAGCCGCCCCAGCCGTCCCGCCCCAGCCGTCCCGACCCCTCTCCCGTCCCTGCCCTCGCCCCCAATGCCGCTGGAGGCACGCCCCTACTGACAACCCCCCCCTGCCCCCCAACCGCACACCTGGTGCCACAGCCGGAGGTTCATGGTGTTTGTCAGCAGGCGGCCCTTGTTGAACTCCACAGAGGCGGGGGAGCAGATGTCAAACGTCCCAAACTCTGACAGGCCGCACTTCTGGAGGATGTTGCAGCGCATCGCGCTCAGCTGGAAGCGGTCTGTCGCGCGCGCCATCGTCGCAGTGCCGTGCGCGTTGCTGCGGGAGCGGCGCGGGGACGTCAGGCGGAGGGGCGCGTGCGGTGAGTCGGACGGGGTCTGGGCGTGTGTGTGGCGGCCATGGAAGCGTCTGGCTGTGCGGGGCCAGCGGGGTGGAGTGGGCCGCGAGGTGGCGAGCTGCACCAACGTAATTGAGCCGCCGTGCATGGCATGGCACGCGTCTTGCCCCCTGCTGTGTCCCTCCCCACTGTCTCCTCTGCCTCCAAACACCAAGCCCTTGCGTCCGCGGCCTGCTGTGCTCACGCGTATCTGCTTTCAATTTGGGTGACGAGGATGGTGAATCCAACCTGCGGTGGTCAGGCCCAGGGCAGAGGCAGGGGTCAAGGCCGTCGATGAGAGTGGACACATTGCGCAAATTCTGTTGCTGCAGGATCCATGCCGGCGCCTGGCAAACGCTATAACAGCCTGGTATGTCAGAGCGACGCCGTGCGGGGGTAGGTCACCGACAGGGCGGCCTCCAGGGCAGGGGCAGGGCCTGCCGGTGGCGAGGACCCGGCTGTGCAGTGGGGAGGTCCCCGCCAGCGGCTCCCCCTGCCTGCGCGGCCCCTTGCTGCTTGCTCACCAGGTGAGCCACCAGGATGACGCACGTGATGAGCCAGGTGCGCTGCCTGAACGCCACGGTGGCGCTCTGCGCGGTGGAGCTGGTGAACATCCGGTTGAGCTTCTTGAGGCGCTTGGCACGCCTGGGGGGCGACACAGGGGTTTAGGATTCAAAGATTAGGGGTGGGGAAAGCGGGGAGCAGGAACCGGCGGCCCCGCCAAGCGCCTGCACGGCGATTGCGGGGCGTTGAACGTGACCGCGGGGCCCCGGCGGCATGGGCCGGCGAGCGAACGCCGTCCACAGGGCAATGTGTTAATCGCTCTGTCGTCGCCCCGTTAATGACCTCGGAGGGAGCAGCCTTACCCCTCAACCCCGGTCTGGCGGCTGCCTGCCTCCCCCCCAGAGATCCCCCCAGACATCCCCAGCCAGCTGCTCCCCTTCCCGGCGCCACCGAGGCCCGCCCCGCAAACGGGCTCCCCCCCTGACC